AAAAAAAAAAGGGGGGGGGGGGGGGGGGAAAGAGGGGTAAAAATCATTGACCTCAGGGGTACAAATCATTGACCTCAGGTTATAGTTAACCAAATGACAGCCACCCCCGTTATTAAATCTTAACATCGTGGATTTGAAACTCATTTTTTTCCTCCCTGTAATATTACTTCACAAAAAAAAAAAAATGGTATCAAGTTTTAGTACAGGTTCATCCACGAATGAACCAATTAAATATGAAATCTCTCTAATTCATTAATATCATAATTACATCATCAGTGTCTTTCTTTCACTACCCCACCAACCTCCAAAAATTACAGAGGGTAATGTTGGCAACAATGGGAGATTTGGAATGTTCGTAACAGAGCCCACTCTGGCATTTTTTTTTTTTTTTTTTATAAGTAATCAATTTTATCTGTTGCGTGGAAGATAGAAATGATTTATTCGTTTTCCAAAATACGTTTTTATTTCTATAATATATTATAAATACCCTCCTATATTTTTGGCTTTTATTTGGTTTCTTTTTTCTTTATTTCCTTTGCTTGTTGTCTTTCCTTTTTGTGTATGTATCCACGAATCCACGGCCTTCTCTCTCTCCCTCAATCTCTCCAGTACCCTAAACACAAATGTTCATCTCCTACATAAAGCTTCTCTCTTTGCAACACTCTCCAACCACACCTCTCTCTCTCTCTCTCTCTCTCTCTCTCTCTCTCAAGGCTTCCTTTGACACTCTCTCTCTCAGAACAATAGTTAGATCAAAATGATGATTTTTACATGCAAGAATCTGTTATAAATACTTTCTTACCAATCTCATTGTGATGCGATTTTGGTAGGGTTTTACAGAGCACATTGATGTTTGTTTTGATGGCAGACCACAGTTTTGGCTGTGCAGCCTCAAACCTTCTATGTACGGAAAACGAACAATTGTGCTTTGATGATTTTGGTTCTACAGCCACAGATGACCACAACCATCCAACCATTAATCCAAATTTGGGGTTTACCAATGTTAGATCAGACTCATTGATTGTTTTGCCGTCTCTTAATGAAGATAGTTTTGGTTTGATGATTGAGAGAGAAAAGGAGCATTTGCCCAAAGATGATTACCTTAAGAGACTGAGACGTGGGGATTTGGACTTGAGAGTGAGAAGAGAGGCACTTGATTGGATTTGGAAGGTGGGTGGGTTAGTTTTCTCAAACTGGTTTTTTTGGTTTTTGCCTGTTTAATCAATTTTTAAAGGATTTTCTACGGTTATATTGCCTTTTTATTTTTATTTTTTTGTGGTAGGAGATAATGTCTGGCAAAATGGGTCTTAGATTTCATCCCACATTGATCAACATTGTTTTTGTTGTTTGATTCATCATATTCTATTTGTGTTCTAATAAATGTTGATTTTCCTATTGATTTTACAGTGATTTACAAGAAGATATTTGATTTTCCCATCGAATTTGAATTGATTTCTAAAAAAGGGGTTTTTTTTTCTTCCTTTGGTGTGTTTTTTTCCTTTCCGGATTAAATTTTGTTGTATTAAATGATGCTCATATTTGGATGATGATGGATTGATGGTGTTTACATTTATTCTTTTCATCTTTTCTTTTGGTACATCCTTTTGACCAGTTGCTGACTCATTGATGCACATAGTTTGCTTTCCTGAATTAAAATTGTGTTTTCCCTTTTATTCCTTCTGATTTCTGTTCAATGGTTCACTCATTTTTTATGGAAATTGTTTCATAAATCTTTTGTACTCATTGATTCTGATATTGCTTTCATGTTGTGTGTTCAACAGGCTCATGCTTATTACGACTTTGGGGCTTTGAGTTTTTGTCTATCAATGAATTACTTGGATCGATTCTTATCGGTCTATGAACTGCCTGTAACTTCAGAACATTGAACCTAACTTTATTTACTATCTACGCTTTGGTATGTTGTGTTACAATGCTGATTGTGTCTCTATGTTTGGTTGTTGCTTATTTCTGCGGTACATAGAAAGGAAAAATTTGGACAGCACAATTGTTAGCTGTGGCCAGTTTGTCACTAGCAACCAAAGTGGAGGAGATAGAAGTGCCTCTCACTGTGGATTTACAGGTGAAGATAATTAGCATCAAGATCGTTTAACAGTTATTGCATTTAAGTGTTTGATAAATCCTAATTTTTTGGTACAATTTCTTGCTTATTTCAAGTTCTCTGGTGATATGGGTTCAGGTGGGAGAACCCAAGTTTGTGTTTGAAGGTAAAACTATACAAAGAATGGAGCTTCTGGTGTTGAGCACCTTGAAGTGGAGAATGCAAGCGTGCACTCCCTGTTCCTTCATTGACTACTTCCTCAGAAAGATCAATAGTGATGAAATTTCTTCAGGACCTTTGCTTTCTAGATCAATTCAAGTCATATTAAGCACAATCAAAGGTCTTTTCTTCAATCTTATGTGTCTGTATGCATTGATATTCTGCATTGTTTTGGGTCTAAGATATTTATTTTGGTCCTAAAATCTTTGTAGTTTTTGATTCAGTGCTGGGTGGGAATTGAATGCAGGTATTGACTTCTTGGAATTCAAGCCTTCTGAAATTGCTGCAGCAGTGGCCATGTCTGTTTCAGGAGAAATACAACCCACAGACATTGATAAGGCAATGCCTTGTTTCATACATGTAGAGAAGGTAACTTTTGTGGTTCCCACACAAATAATTTCTAGACAGGACAAACTTTCTTCTTCTCTTTGGCATTATGAGGATATTACCCAATAATGATGAAATTTCGATTCAATTTGAGTCGAGTTATAATACCAATGGTTAAGTTGGGGCTGAAAAAATTTGAGATCGATTCCAAACCATCTAATTGTACGGTAAATTTACCATTTTGACTTATAATCTCACCTTTATTTTATGCTAACTTGGGCACAATATCAAAAAGTAACTTTTTAGTAATGTGGGTTTCCTCTTCACCTTCTATCTCTACCAAGTTGGTGAATGGTTTTATGAATTGTGATTTGTTTTGTTTGCGTGGTTTGCAGGCCAGAGTACTGAAGTGCCTTGAATTGATACAACATTTGACATTGATCAGTGGGTCCACAATTACAAATGCGGCTATTTCCTCTGTCCTGTCACTACCCCACAGCCCAATTGGGGTGTTGGAGGCTGCATGCTTGAGCTATAAAAGTGATGAGAGAACAGTTGGGTCATGTCCAAATTCTTCACATAACAGTCCTGGCACTAAAAGGAGAAAACTAGACACACCATCTCAAGAGTCATGAAATGGGATGGTTGAATGGGAGTTTTGGTGTGGCTTCGAAGGTGCCCCTTTACACACACAGACAACACAGAGAGAGAGAGAGAGAGAGAGAGAGAGAGAGAGAGAGAAAGAGAGAGAGAGCGCTCATGCTTTTTAGCATGAAAAGAATCGTCACCAGCTGTTAATAATCAAAGTTGTCAACCACCAAAGTCATAGAAGGTGGGGGAGGACAAAGATTTGGAAAATCCACATGTTATGGCAAGAAGAACTAGAGTTTTTGGTTGTAGAAGAAAAAGGGGAGAGAGAGAGAGAGAAAAGAGGTGGAGAAAAAAAGTGGACAAGGGTTATATTATTGTTTTAATTTTTTTTTTGTCTTATTCAATGAAATTCAAAACAGTATCTATGAACACTTGTTTTTATTTATTTATTATTTTTGACCCCATTATAAAACGGATGTGAGTTTTCTTGTCTGTCAAAATGTTAAGTACTTTTTTTTTGATAATTTAAAATGTTAAGTACTTTTTATAGACTAAATATTACCACCAAACCAAGATTTTGGCTAAGACACTTAACACAGCGATAGGGTGATAGTGTGTAGGGCCACTAGCTGGTCTTTGTCACGTTGTTCTAATCATATCCATGTTGTGTATAATTGTTTTTTAGCGTGTTGTGTATACTTGTTTTTTAAGCAAGTTTTTTGTTTATTATAATTTTAAAAAAATATATTTCTAATTTAATAAGATTATTTCGATAACTTTCGTATCAATTTTTGGAATAATGGATGGCATTAAGATTTGATACCCCATTTGCATGATATAATTATCACGGTTAATTACAAAATATCCTCTTAAAGTTTTGGTCATGCTACAACAACCCCTTCACCTAAGCAAAATTGAAGCACCTCCCTAACAAGTTTTGGGGTAGTAGTGTTGGTGTTTGCGACGACGGCTACGATGTGCATTGAAATTTGGAGGTGGTGTTGGTGTCAATTTTTGGATGAATCTCGTTTAAATATTGTTTGATTGTGTGTTGTATAGACGAAAGAGTCTTTTTGTTTTCGAATTTACTTGTTTGGTGGGGGGTGGAGAATTGTTGGAGTTGGGATGAGGGGACCACTAGAATTGGTATGGATGTTGGAAGGACTGCCAGATTTAGTTTGGATGCAAAGGATTGTTAGAAGTGGGTATGGGGTTTGGGCTATTGCCGTTGTTCGATTGTTGAGGGGTTGTTGGCGTTGAGTATGAGGGAGAGGGACTATGGGAAGTGGGTACTGTTGGGATTTAACACGATTTAAATTCACTAACAAACACACACAATCGAAGAACAAATCAAGAATATAAAGCAATAAGAAACAAAAAAAGAACAAAACACAGATTTTACGTGGTTCGGCAATTTGCCTACGTCCGCGAAGTTGCAGGGATTTTACTATTGAGAGAGTTGAATACAGAGAGCGGCTGTACAATCTACGATTAACCCTAATCACCAAAACAACAGGGTTTATATGTCTTACGCACTGGGCTGTATAACGGGCACAAAAAATTTTCCTCAGGGGCGTTGCCCCTGAACCCCCACGAGGCTTGTCCATGAGCACTACGGCTTGGGCCTATCGGCCCAAGCCTTCGCTCCATGGACTAAGTTTCAGAAAATTTTTCATTAAAAAATCACACAACATTACTTCGGGTCGGGTCATCATCCGGATCACATATACAAACTAGACTCCATAAAAAAAAATCAACAGNAAAATTTTAAATAAATAAATTAAATTTTATTTGAGTGGTTATTTATATAATAAAATATTTTATAATTTAAATTTCAAAAAATAAATAAAATGACTTTTTCTATTTGTGGTTGAGATCACTTTAAATTTTACTTTAAAGTTAATCTAACTGCTAATATTAAAACTCCAAATTTAATAGGAAAAAATATGCACCTAAGGGTGTGTTTAGAGTAATTTTTTAAAAATATTTTTAGGAATTATTTCTCATAAATATTTTTTTAAAAAAATATTATTTTGAACTGTTCTACCCCTACCTTTACCACCACCACCACCACTACCGCCACCACACCGCCACCACACTTCCACCTTCATCGCCACCACTACCACCTCCACCGCCGCCACCACAACAATTACTGTCTCCTGTCACCATTATTATCGCCCACTATCTCTCACCTCTATTACAAATTAATGTTTAAATTTTTTTATCTCTTCTTTATGTTTACTATTTAATTTTGGATATGAATACAAATATATTTATTATTTACCATTTTTTATTACTTTGTGTCTTCAATCACAGACAATAACTAATTTACTTATAAAAGAAGAATAGATAGTTATTGACTTATATGAATATTTAGTTATTGATTTATATAGTCTATTTTTATTTATTTATTTATTTATATATTATTAATTGATGATACAATGTAACAATATTAATACTGTACCATCGTTGCAATGAATATTTTTTTCCTTATTTTGAGATCACCAAAAGGCCACCGGCCAGTGTTTTGACTCTGTGTGGAGCAAACATTTAATGTAACATCAGCGTGTGGTAATTATTCAATAAAAAAATTAAAAATAAATAAAAATGAATTTTCCTTTCTTTTCTTTTACACGAGGGTGGTTATATATTATATGGATAGTAGTTACTAAATTTATTGGGCTTACTTGTCCACTTTTTTCTTTGTTAGTGAACAATTATACCAGCAGTACTATTGACTTAATGTAACCCCTATACTCAATATTTTCTCGTGTGTGATACTAGTCGACATATAGGGTTTGCTCATTAATTACATACTAAAAAAATGTTAATGGAATGTTTGGAATTGATTTTTTTGAGTGCGAAATAGAGTTTTAGAAAGTAAAATGAAAAAGTTAAAGTTAAAAATTTTTTTGGAACTATTTGTAGTATTTTTAAAAAAGTTGATTTTTTTTCTTTGGATAAGCTCTATTTTTCAGCCTTTCTTTGGTGCTAATAAAAATTATTTTTACCCAAAAAATTAATGGAAAAAATCGCTTAATTAGCTCATGTCCAAACAAACTACATTTCTTTCCTATGAAATAAAAAAAAATTGGCCCTTTTTTGGAGGCCGGTCAACATTTGTGGGCTTTGGGGCGAGAAGTCTAGGTGCAATGTTTTTCGGACTTAAATGATAATTAAAGGTATAAAGATTAATTTATCCTTAACAACATAAATAGTTATATTACGGCAATTACAGCGATACAGTAATAATAACATCGACACAGTAACAATAAGAACAATGCACTAATAGTGACAATGACATACTAACAATACTAGCTAAACATTAACAGTAAAATAAGATAGTAATATTAAGGCAATAACAGTTACAACGATAGTGAAGTTTTATTGTCACTGCGTAAATTTTTATTGTTATTATCCATTGTTACTGTCAAAATTCTATATAACTAGACAATAACGTATATTAGACGCGAACACAATCAAAGTAGCCACAACTATTATCAAAATTCTATGAAATAAGATTGTAACGTAAACTAGACAACTACATAATCACAGTAACAATCACAATCACTGTCAAAAATTTACGAAATTACATAGTAACGTGAATTACATAATCATGCGATCACGGTGATCATAGTTATTGTCAAAATTTTGTTGAACCAAACAATAACATGAACTGGACAACCACACAATCACAACAACTGTCACAGTGATAATGACAAAGATAGTAAATTTTGTTGTCACTGTCCAAATTTTAATGTGTGAATTTGAAATAGATTTTGCTCAATACCAACGAAATTTTATCAAATTTAGTCAACCATCATTATTAACAAATTTATTGTGTTTGAGAAACTTGAGTTTGAAATAGAATTTGAGTTGTAAGTTCNGTCAACCATCATTATTAACAAATTTATTGTGTTTGAGAAACTTGAGTTTGAAATAGAATTTGAGTTGTAAGTTCCTAATATATCTTATCGAACATCATTTGGGCATATGATATAAGTCTAGTAGTGGTCACATGCCAAATTGGGACGCATGAGAGATCAGGGATGATTACGACATATAAAAGAAGATAGTGTATGGACACTAGCTGTTTTTTGTTACGTTGTTCTAATTAGGCTCGTGTTGTGTATAATTATTTTTTAGCGAGTTTGAGTTTTGTTATTGTTGGTAGATCAATTTTTTTATATTTCTANCTCGTGTTGTGTATAATTATTTTTTAGCGAGTTTGAGTTTTGTTATTGTTGGTAGATCAATTTTTTTATATTTCTAATTTAATAGGATTATTTCTATAACTTCCGTACCAATTTTTGTAGTAATGGATTGCATTAAGTTTTGATACCCCATTCGTGTGAACTAATTATCAAATGGAAATTTTAAGAAGAATGATGAATGTCAGGATGTTGAAAGCGACGTCGTAGTAGCACGATAGAATAATAGACGCCGTGCAACACATGATTTTGTTTTGCATAATGATTTCTACTCGACCTCATTTTTTGGATATCACAAAAGGGCCATACTGGGCCCACCCCGACAGGGAACACCGACCAGTGTTTTGAGTGTGTGTGCCACTGTTTGTGTGGAGTAAATATTTAAGGGATTTTTATAGATGGATACACAATTTATGACTTAATTATATAAACAAATTTCGGGTAAAATTATTTGTGTAGAAATATTTTTTATTTGCGAATACTAAATATACTCACAATAAAAAATAACCAGCTCAAACTAATGAATTTGGAAATTGCCGAAAATCAAGTAGCATACCCATGACAATCACCAACAATGATATCTAGCAAAGTAGGTTTGTTTGAAATTCAATTAAAAAGTACCATGAAATTTATGAGATTTCAGTCAAATCAAAAATAAAAATAACTGAAAATTGTGAGAACCGGAAAAACCATTAACATCTAGAAGCATAACATATGATTTTTGGAAACTAAGGCTCTTATCATTGAGTTTTTACATGACAGTGATATATCATAATGTAATTGTTGGATCAAAACAGTTTTTTAAGTGTAAAAATTAAATTTTAGTCGATTTTGAGCCTAAATTAAAGTGGGACCCGATTGTTATTTTGAATAAAATTTCGTAAGTTCATATTCTACTTCATGAAG